TATACCAAGAATTAATATGGTATGACGGTATTGTTAATGTAAATATTCTTTGCAATGGTGACTCTAATATCTCTGTGGATGACAACCTTAGAATGGCCAAATCGGTCCAAACATTCCTAGGAAGGTCAGGAAGATTCACTTAAATTCTCTCTCCCTCTCTCTCTCTCTCCCCCCCCCCCCCTTTTTTTTTTTTTTTTTTTTTTTTTTCTCTCCCATTCTACATCCCTCTTTCTATTTCTCTTTCCCTATGCCATACCCTGTTCTTATTTCTCTGTCTCTTTCTTTATTCTTTTTCCACTTATACATTTTACATAAAAATGACTATTATAATAGTTTCATGTCACCACGTGACCATATTTATGTAAATGTTTATGTGTATGTTGTAGGAGAAGTCATTCATAAGTTGGTAAAACTTACTGACTAATCCTATTGTCAATGTCATTGTCAATAAAATATGTTTAAACTAAAATGATTCTAAAAACTATTTACAACATTTACGACAAGGATTATATTCAATTTTCACAAGATACAAATACATGTAGAAAAAAATGATACAAATCATGATAACTGACAAAGAGATAGAGTGACAGAAAAATTGCAGAAACTTTTACAAGTCATGCATCTACTCATCTACATACATTGGGTTACGTTATGTACCAAAAACAAACCAACCACAAAGAAACAAACAGAAACAAAAAAAAAAAAAAAAAAAACATATTCACACTATAAGATGAAAACAAGAAAGAAACATGGACATAGCAAACATAAAATACAAAAGGACTGTGCAAGCCCAGATCGTTTAATTTATTTTTGAAATTCAGATTTTTTTTTTTTTTAATCCAATCATTACTATAATTACTTTTTCATTTTAAGACCTTTTTCATTAAGGAATATGAATAATCCAAACGATAGTTAACAAAATTTATGGCAAAATAAATGAAGAAACAGAAACAACCATGTACATGTATGTGTTTAATAGATTTATGGTGTATGTATGTTGTAATACATAATTAGCTGTTTTGAAATTGGTCTCTTTTAACTTCATCTGGTTAGCCATTCCATACACAATCAAAAATAATTTGTTCATGTTTTTCGTATGTTGAAATTGTAAGGATAAGGGATTGATTAAAACGAATGATTTAACCGAGATATTAATGTAATTTTCATGAAGACTATCTTTTGCAAATTGGTATAAGAATTCTTCTATTTCTTATTGATAAAAATTACTCATTTAGTTTTGCAAGTTTTTAATCAATATTTATATAAGCTATGGCATAAATTTTGATTGCCCAATGTCTTTTGTGTCTTTTGATAGTTGATTCATGGAGATTGGCTAATAACAAATTGGCTGTTCATATTAAGTCAGATATACCTTCAAATATTCCTCAATATTTTGATATCAAAGCAAGATTTTGCACAAGTATTTCACTATGATGATCCCCAACATTAATTTCAGATTAGTGGAAAAACATGTATGAATTTAGTTTTTTTTTCACTAACCGGAAAAACCACATTGTGGAAATAAAAAAGATTGGTAAGGGGAAGAAACTATGGAAATATATTTCTTTTATATAAGTTAAGGAAACATATAATGGAAATAAAAATCTTTTTCACTTAAGTGAAATGATACATAATGGAAATAAAAATTGAAGATACTTACCACTATTTTTTTGTTATATTTATTCTGACCAGGAAGTAATTCTGTATTGAACTAAAAAAATTTATCCCTGTAGACCTGCAGTTTAACTTCTACATGGTAGTAACTACTAAAATGAAGATAACGTCTTCCAACATTCCGTATGTTTCTCTGGATTGCCTCTAGCACTCTGCTTATGTCTCCCGCCATCATTTAAAATAGCTTTCATTTCCGGTATGAAAACGAGGTACAAGAAGTGGCTCTTCCCATTTTGAAATGGGGGTGGATAGCATACTTACTGTTTTATTTACCTTAAAGGTGACAAACATAGAATAAGTAAAAATATCCGAATTCCGCTTTAATCTTCCACAATTTTATCATATAAACTCATACCAACCTGTATTTTCATAAAAAAAAATGTTTTAAAAGCATTTTTGAAGATTAGTAAAATACCACAATCTTTCCGTGTTACCGCCATGAAATGCTACCGACGTGAGTTATCTCCCTTACCGTGTGACGTCATATGAGACCAACGAGATTTGCCCTAGAGTGCGCCATTTGTCAAGTGAAGTGGTCCGGAAAAATGTAAACAATATGGTTCAGTGTGTCGCTATAAACTGTACGAATCGAAGCGGACAGAGAGTGAGTTTATTTGCATTCCCAAAGGACGACAAACTAAGAAATGCGTGGACTGTGAAGCTAAAACGACAAGACTTTGTGCCAACGAAACACAGTCGACTCTGCCAAATCCACTTCAGTCCTGAATGTTTCAGCAAGGATCCCCGTATCTCAGAATCCATAGGATACGAACCGAAATGTTTGAGACTTAAGACGGATGCTGTGCCAACTATTTTTGATTTTTCTTCAACCCCGAAAACACCTCGTCCTGTTAATACGACGCAAGTAGCCGATTCGCCTTTCCTTTGGGAAACTCCAAACAGAAAACGGTCTAGGAGTCAAGTTATACAGAAAAGACGCAGATTGGAGGTAGATACATCAATTAATTCAATAGCCTTCTTAATTTTCACAAATTATATCTCATCATCAGTCCTTTTCCAGGTAACTGTGGGTAGCTTTGTAATAGCTTTTCCTTTTAGACTCGGATTTGATTTATTTCTAAGACAAACCATCATTCGTATACATCAGACTTCACATGTAATTACATTTGATTTGTAACAAATCCCTGTGCTTCAACGCCTGCGGCCTAATCCATAAAACTTGTGAAAATATAATTACTGTAGTGTAATGTATATTTATGAAATATCTACATAAACAGTAAATCATGGCCCAATTTTCACCAAAACTTGAAATATTAATCCTCATTGAAAACTTACATAAGTTCATTAAGGAAAATCTTAATTATAAGGAAGCTATGTCTTCCTTCGGGAGTTCAGATTTCCATGATTAGTAAAGGAGGAATAGGATTCATGAAACTAGGCCAAGCTCTAACAATGTACAGTACATGTATATGGTTATTCTATACTGTCCTGAAAATAAGTTCATTTTATTTTAGGTTTTATCCAAGATAACAGAACTACATCAAGGAAATGAAACTGAAAATGTGGAAAACCTGCATATGGATGTTTGTACCAATTTGTATAGATCGGACCAATGCCATATTGAGACTCCGACCGATTCAAGCACAACTGCTGATAAATGTGTTGGGTCAGATGAACCAATGAATAATTATTCCGTGGGTTGTCAGACTTCTTACAATGTAGTTGAAAGTATAACCATTACTATATATTACCAGCTAGAGCATCCTTCATCAAATTATATTTTATGCATTAAAGCATAATATAAATTCCCCAGGCCTATTCACTTCAGAAAAAAAAACAATATTATATTGAGACTTTGTTTCATGGACATTGCATTTTATAAATTTAATCAGTAGTATAATCAGTACTGGAACTATATGGTCATACACATTAATGTAATTAATTATTAGATTAAATTTACTATAGTGAGAATGAGTGTAAAATTCAGTCATAACATTTTCATATGTGTGGTATAAACAATACCATTAAGAAGTTTTGCCGTGATGATACATCTTAACTCTCATCTACAAAACAACACATTATCTAAATATATATATATATATATATGTTGTAGCGACGGAGACATGTTGGCCTTCAGGTAACATCAAACTTGAAACCAAGAACTACATCCTGTGCAGTACAGGCAACATGCAGAATGGAAACCTCATCGACACAATGCAACCGTTACAGAAAAAAGTCTGATGAGTCATCAGCAAAATGTGTAGATAGGATAGATGATGATGATGAAGAGGATGATTCTATACTACATGATCCAGACTGGGTACCGATGTAAGAGAATGTTGAAGATGAGGATATACCTACTGAGGGAGGAACTGGTCTGGATGATGAGGAAACAGAACCTGACAAAGCTCGGAAATATGTCGTGTTTGAAAAATGTTTGTTGGAGTTGTTAGACTTTTGTCAGGGTTGCCATTGTACAAATTTACATCATGAAAGAACAATGATTGGCACATGTGTATGTATAACTTCCAAACGTATGTGTGGCTTTGTGCGCCGTTGGACCAGCCAACCTTTTTCCAAGTCAATGCCTTGGGGGAACATTATAACTGCTGGTGCAATATTTTTCAGTGGCAGTAGTCCTGTTAAAACTTTGAACTTTATGCGACATGCCGGTATTTTGGGACTTAGTCTCACATCATATAATATTCTACAGAGAACATATATTGTGCCCTCCACATTGTCATGCTGGCAGTTTCATCAGTCTGTTTATCTCACAGACATCAAAATCAGTGGTCATGCTCTAAAACTTGGAGGAGATGCCAGATGTTCATCACCAGGCCATACAGCAAAATATGGAAGCTATACAGTGATGGATGTACAGACTTCAAGGGTTGTAGATATACAGCTAGTCCAGGTAATAAGATTGAAAGCATAGAAGTAAATTATAATTCCTGATCAGTAAGCTTTTATTAAAACAGGTTTTTCAAAAACTGAAATCAATGTCTATGATTGAATAAAACAAAATGCAAAATACACACAGAATTTATCAAAATGCAGTGAGATGAGATAGTATCAATAACTAGTGTAATCTGCTAGGCCAAATGCATATATATGTATATATATGCAAGTTTTAATAATATAATTTATAAATGTAAGTAATGATTTGGATTCAGTGACAGTGACTAAACTCATGCATTAAAGTGGTTTCTACATAAACCGACTAGATTCCTAAGACAAACGTACATTCCATATCATAGTAATTGCCCACCATATTATATACATATTTGTATCATTTATTTCAGTCTAATGAAGTGAAGAATTCATATAATATGGAGTTGGAAGGTCTGAAACGCTGTTTGAAGTTTCTTCAAGAAGAAGGTGTGGATGTTTCGGATCTGGTGACAGACAGACACAGTCAAGTGAAGAAGTTTATGAAGACAGAACGACCTGATATCAACCACTGGTTCGATGTATGGCATGTAGCAAAGGGTAAGTTGAATAATATTTCATATTGATGTTACATTTATTATAACACACACACACACACACACACCGGGAATAAAGTTAGGGGGGTATATTGAAATCACTCTGTCTGACTGTCCATGCCATCTGGCCGGAATATTGTGTAAAGTAGATCTAGACAACCGATCAATTAATTTTTTCTGAAACCTTGCATAATCTATCCTTATGATATGAAGTTGTGCAAGTTCGTTTTTCTAAAAAAAATGTTAACATTTTGTTCAAGATCAATATACACAGGTTTTGTGAAATAACATCTTACCATGACAACTCCTCTTAGACCAGTGATCAGATATCAATGAAACTTAACAGTAATGCTAGCAATAGTTTGTAGATGTGCATGCACCTTCCTTTTCTTGAAATTTTGGTTACTTTTTGGTTTAATTTTTTGTCGAAATTCACATGGGATGACGGTGCAGGGGTATTAGTTATCCTTTGGATGAAAGTTAGTTACTGAAGCATATCTACACATCATTTGTTTGCAACAAATTAACAATGGAAAAATACCATATAAAATTATATGGTCCACCTGCTCAATTAGTCAATAGAGGGGTTTTCTTCGGGTACTCTATTAATAAAACCTTCCACATGTTAAAAGATTAAGTTGAAATAATTTGTTTCATATAATTATTGTGAAATTAATGAAGTTTAAATTTACGCTTTATGTACATGTGTAACAATAAATAAAACAAGTAATTTATTTCCAGGAGTATACAAGAAGTTAGAAGCTCTAGGAAAAACCAAGAAGTATGCTCTAGTTGGCCAGTGGGCTCGTTCCATCAGCAATCATGTATATTGGTGTGCTGCCAGTAGTCATGGAGATGGGGAATTAGTCCGCCAAAAGTGGAAAAGCATCACAAACCACATCGCTGATGTCCATGATGGCCACGGAGACAGATTTCCAAACTGCCTACATGATGACATTGAAAGGAATTGGTTCAAGCCAGGTATGAATTAAGTTGATCTTTGTTTACAGGGGTGTAAGTTGAGCAAAAACACTTTAAGATGAAGAGTATCTGATTTTTTTTCTTTTATTTTTTAACTAGCAGCCAACATTGGTGCTTGATAAGAGGTTTAACTATATTGACTAATACCATATATAGCTGATGAATCAACATGATCTAAGACTTTCATTTTTCCTCACAGACTGTGCCTTGCAGCCCTACACTTTAATGCCAACTCATCACGACCTCAGGCAGTGAAGAATGGAAAGGGTCAGTATCGAGTGTCCTTTCCAAAAAGCAGAAAAGGAGATGCAGTGGCGAAAGAAATAAAAGTAAAACAAAACTTTGGTAAGTAACAAAGGTCAATTTTTTTATCATTCACAAACAACAATATAAATCTGTTAAGAACAGCATTTCGGAAGTTGTTATTGACATTTTTGTTACTTTATTATGATACAAGAGATTCCACTAATATCATTCCTGTTAATATCACATTTCCATTTAATTTCACATTGTTCTCTGACAAATATGTAATAAGAAATTTAAGAAGTTGAATTTATATTCCCTGTCTTTACAGACTACATTGAAGAGCTCATGGAAGAAGTTGTCATGAGAAGACAAATGTTTAGCAGTTATGGGCAGGCACAGCGTGCATTAGCTCAGGAAATGGAACGCCCACCACCTTCTATCTCTTGGCAGCATAGGATGAACATGGAAAACTATGACAGGGAAAATGTGATTTCAAGTCAGTGTAGAAGATTCAATTCATATATCAGAGTCGAGGGTAGCGGAATCCTGTGAAACTTTCGGATGGAAATGCCCTATGAATTGCAGCTACAGCACAAGCTGGAATGACTTTCCTGTTTTTCTTGCCAAGGCGTTTCCATGTCCATCGTATAAATCGTCTGTATGCAACAAGTCGATACATCCTGTAATTGAGCAATATAAATTGTGGTTAATCAGTGTGACTTTGTAGACTGCATTCTCAAATACAATGACACAGACAAAATTAATTTATCTTATGATTGAAAACATGAAATTTGCATAAAAGGACAGTTGTCTATATACAATTTATTTTCCTGAGTTCTTTTCAACTCTTTTAGTGAATACCACCAAAATAATGCAATGAGTCCCAAAATTTGCATGAGTACAGAACTTGCATGTAGATTTATCACTGAAAGAATATGACATAAGACTATATTATAGAAACTATATCACCATTTGTATGTTTTATAGATAAAATATATCAGTTTTTAATAGATCTATTAAGTGAGACAATATTACAACTACGTAGTTGGAAAGTTGATGTAAATACAAACCTATGTATGTTTTGTGACTGTCCTTCATCCCCATGTTCATCGGCATATTCATAAAACGATGTCTCTAAAACATGGATATTCAGGCAGTTTGCAATGAATCCCTCATGATGAGTAATACATTCTATGTCTTCCAATTTCTCCTGTAGAATAATCATGTCTCTGCAACATTGTCGCTCTTCTTCTGTGGGCATGGGTGTACACAAATTACATGAACACCTATTGAAAAAATATATATAATTGTGCATGACATGGCATAGATTGATTTTACAGTATTTTTTATATTTATTTCTACTATATTTGCTTATTTATGCGCTTCAAAATAAATGCACTATTAGAGAAAATGTCTGTTTCAAATTTCACGTTGTCACATTTGCTTATGACAACTAAAGATAATATGCGTATGTGTGGGGGGAGGGGGTGGGGGTGGGTGTTTGAATGGTATAAATTTTAAACAGCTTGTGTCCATGTTTTTTATTCTTAACTTATTTTGATAGAATGTGTAATTTATGCATGAAACTAGTCAAATTTAAAATAATACACACAGACATCATGGAAATAATTGCGAGAAAATATCAATTACGTTATTTCTAATTTTCTCTGTACTTTGTAACATTGATTAATAATAGTGTTGTGCTGATTATTAATTTTATATTGGTAATCAACAGATAAAATATCTTATTTAATCAATCGCTTGTAAAAGCCCACAGTCGATTGTTGGATTGAAGTTGTTGATTCACAAGTGTTTGTCATTATTCAACCATCCAAACTCAGACATTGTTTTCCGAATACAAACCAAGTATTAATGGATTGATAACTAAACTGAATTGTGTCATTAAAGTCAGCACCATGTATTGAATCATTTCTCATGGCAAAATTCTTTAAAACAATTTATCAATCGGAATAGTTCATCCAATAGACAGTTGTGAATTGCCCAGTTGATTACCAACACTATTGATTACTGAATTAATGAGGTGTCATATCGTATGGCTATTATGCTGTGGAACATTTGTGTAAGAGTGGTTTGTATGTGTAACTAAATAATGCAAATGGAATGCATGAATTATGTGTAATAATATAGAATGTAAATATGGAAGATGAATACATTTCGTGATGAACAATTTTAACAATATATAATATGATAAACAGTTTTAACAAGACAGTGAAAAGTGAGACTTTCACGAAGTTTCAGTAATATTCAAATGTTTTTATTCACGATAATTTAAGTTCAAAACTTGTTAATATTGGAAATAAACATTTCATGTCTACAAATAAACTGCTTGTACCATACTCAGTACATCAACTGAAGAGGCATTGTGGTTTTGTTTTTAATTTTATATTACAAGTAAATCAGATTCAAGTTGGATCAGGTCTGTTGGTGTAAAACATTTCCATTTGAAAATGCATGACCGAAATGTCGAAAAACGATTCATATGATCTTTGATCCAGCCAGTAATCGTGACTGACCAGTAGGCCCTAGTCGTGATTGTGTGCACAAAACGGGACATCTTTGTTTAAAAATAAGCAATAAAAATAAATGTTTTATGCCTTATTTTACTATCTTGATTTCTGTGTGTAAAATAGGTATTTCATTCACGACTACTGGTTGTAGTGTTTAGTATAACTTGTGTATAAGGCCGCAAGAGTTACGGCCCTTGAATAATTGACTTTAGGGTTAGTGCCTATCGAACGGGCCCTTGTGTAGGGGGACTTCCTGTACGCCATTGTTAATAAACGAGTTGAGTGTTTATGTCTGTCTCTGTTATCCTGTCATCCGATGACCAAGACACTTCACTGGTCGGGTCCCAAGGGTAGACCTAGGCCTGTAGGCCTACGAGTTTAAAGACGGATCACTGTGATGGATAAAACATATCTTCAAATAAGAAAATGTGATGACACAGTTTATTGACATTGAAGCATATATATCTTCAAATCTAAATTTGATAACTTAAATCGGTTGTGACCTGTATTCAGGAAAATTACAACAAAAACTAACCATTCCGTACTGCCATCATGATCAGGACTAGCATTTTCAAGGCTAGAGTCACTACTGTCGTCGCTATGATCTGACGAATCTGAGTCATCTTGATCGTTGTCTTGTTTCCGTTGTGGTTCGTACATATATGGCTCGATGTTTAAACAAAATGACACTTCTGGAATATCCTCAAAATCACTCAAATCAGGCGAATCCATACCGTTCGTCTATACAACAACTACAATGGCGGAACTGGCTTGGTCTTCTATGACGTCACCGGTTTTCCGGTTTCAGGAACGATAACTCATGCAAAATTTCCCGTAACCTCGACACACTTTGGTACTATTTTTTATTAATTTCTCGTATTTTACATAATTTAAAAATAAATATATATGCTGATATTTTTTTAATACTTGAAGAATGCAAAACGGCAGGAACAGTACTATTTCAATTTTCTATGTTTGTCACCTTTAAGTGGAAAACATATCCCTTAAGTGAATGTAATTTAGCATTATGTCAGCACATACCACTTTTTTCACTTAAGTGAAATTCTTTTAAACTTAAGGGAAATAAACATTATCATGCATTATGATTTATTTCACTTAAGTGAAAAAAAGAATCCCTTTAGTGATTTTCTCCCCCTTAAGTTGTATTAATAATTTGCATTATGTTTCATTTCCCCTTAAGTGCAATTGGTTTTCACTTAAGTGAAAAAGAATTTCACTTAAGTGAAAAAACTATCCCCATAAGAGGAAATAGGATTAAATGTTAAAACGGCTTGCCATACTGAGCGTCGCTCTAATAAAAATGTAGAAAGCATGGCCTCTTTTTGTGTCTAGAAATTTAGGCCCACAAACTCATCATAGTCAACATCTACCTTGTGATTTCGGTTATATGTTGGCTAGTTGTAACGCCTTTGTAATATCTACTTATACTTGTTTTATTATGTTGTAGCTTTTCATCACGTGCATGTTCAATCAGAGTTGGAATAAACGAAGTGAATTGTTCGAAGTGGTTGAATTGTGGTTAGCTGTCATAACACCTGCTCTTGCAGGACATTTTGTCCCAATCGATGTTGCTGGAAAGACGGACTACTCGATCCTACCCTTCAATAACAATCCGTCCAATTTCATAATGCCCCCAATTCCTTGTGATTCCATTGTCTCATGGTGTTGGAAGATATGTATGATTATTGGAGTTGGAAGCTTGCAATCGCGTCTCTACTACATTTAAGCCTGGTCCGAAAATGTAAACTATCCTATCGAAACTTGCAGGACATTTCGTCTCAACTGATGGTGCGCAGTATTCTTTATAGTAATCTTGTTTCCTTTGAATTAACGTTTCGTTTCTGTCAGTTTGAAATAAACTTTAATGTCTAGTTTGCCCGCTGTGTCAAAATCAGGACCTTTGGAAATTGTGGTGTCAAGGAAGTCAATGAGTTTTCACTGATTGTATCTGTACACGCACTATCCGACAAACTGTATCGGTACGTTCTGTCCAACGAAATGGAGGGGGACTTCTCTGACGCGCACTGTTTAGTACCCGTCCGAGGGGACGCGACCTACACTCGGGGGTAGAAAGTTTCCCTTCATCAGTGGTATCGGGGGTGGTTGATTTCTAGCAATATGAGTGACACACATAACTGCTGGGTGGCCAGCCGGATGTCTGACGACTCGGCCACTCACAAGTCGGCCCAACATCGTCAGACAAGTCGGCCAAATCTACAGAAAAGTAGGCCAAACTATTTTTAACACATATTAAACGAATGCAAATGATCTTGTATAGTATCTGGGCAAATATTTTGCCAATATAATGTAAACAGGCTCCAGCATAATAGGAAAACGTTTGTTGAATAATTAGGCCTACTTGTTTTCATCAACGATGTAATGCCCTACGACCAACAAAGTTCTTGTACCTAAATCAACTTAATCACAGTGATGCATGCAGCAATTTTATCAATTAACATGATTAAAGAAAGAAATGTAAGGCCAATATTAAAACTAAATACTAAAGCATCTACATTTTGAAAAAGATTCATGACATGATCCTATCAATAGCATCAACACATTGACAGTATTGTTCCTCCAAACTGGTAGCTGCAGAAGTTTCTTGTAGGATTGAATCCACAATCTCTGTAGGTAGCACATGACTACGAAAGCCGCCTGAGGTCATATGAAAGTCAGAGAATATTTTTAATTTCTCGTTATTTCGAGAAAAAATGTCGTTATTACGAGAAAAAGGTCGTTTTTACGAGTTTTACAAGTCGTTATTACGTGAAAAAGGTCGTTATAACGAGAAAAAAAGTCGTTTTTACGAGTTTTACAGGTCGTTATAACGAGAAAAAGGTTGTTATTACGAGAAATTTAATCGTTATTATGACTTTGAAAAGTCATTATTACGAGGAAAAATTATATTATAGACGAATAGTTATGCGTGATTTCAAATGGGAAGACAACATGAGAAGAGCAAAATTGGAAAACCTCCTAAAATTGTATTTTGACATAGGACTTTCCTATCCAGAAATATTAAGCTTCCTTGCAATAAACCACCATGTAGTGATAAGTATGTCAACACTGAAGAGGATTTTAAAGAGTTTGCAATTATCCAGAAAAACTGGATATTCTGATATACTTGATGTCGCATTGTTTATAACTGGGGAGCTAGAGACTTCCGGGAAGCTTCACGGGTACAGATGGATGCACCAGAAGTGTATTCAGTCTGGTTTTAATATTCCAAGAGACACTGTCTACGATCTCTTAAAGTTACTGGATCACGAAGGTGTCTTTCACCGTAAAAGACAAAGACTCCGACGGCGTCAATATATCAGTAAGGGACCTAACTTTGTGTGGCACATAGATGGGTACGATAAACTAAAACCATATGGTATTGCAATACATGGTTGCATTGATGGCTTCTCCAGAAACATCATTTGGCTTGAAGCTCACACTACAAACAACGACCCCAAAGTAATCGCGCACTACTTTATTGAAGCAGTAAGACGGAGGGAAGGTTGCCCTCAACACATTCGTGCAGATATGGGGACAGAAAACGCTTACATTGAACAAATGCAAGTGTTCCTTAGAAGAAATCACGGAGATGATCTGTCTGGCAATAACAGTTTTCTTTACGGCAAAAGTACGCATAATCAGCGTATTGAGTGGTTTTGGGGTTGCTTGCGCAAGGAGATGGGACAATTTTGGATGGATTTCTTTGCAGATTTTGCAAGTGAGGCTGGACTACATTTGTTTTGTGGAGATTTCCTCGACAAAAGTTTGATTCAATTCTGTTTCATGAAATTAATACAGGTATGTTGGCATGAAATATACATGACGTATCTTGATATTTGTATTCTGTTTTTAATACATGTACTTATAAAGAGAAGATTTCGTCATGTTTCATCTTAATATCGGCGATGAGTTTGAAGTTGACGCCATAACTATGCCACGTAAGATGGCTTGCTTGTCAGCTATTTTTATGTCTGAATCGCAAAAGTATACAAAAGCGATACTCCATTCTTATAATAAATTCCGGAACAAGTCTACGTATATATTATTCTAGCTACCTTAAGATGTTCAAAAATGGCTGTCTTTCCGCTTTCTGGACAACCATAATGCTGGCAATTTAAATATTAACCTTTTGAACATATTTTATATCAATTTATTATATTTTTTTAGGAAGAGCTAGATACATTGGCTGCAACATGGAACACGCACAGAATCGCATCAAGGACCAATGCTGTCCGCGGAGGAAACCGTCCATTGATGATGTATACCCTCCCGGAATTATACAATGTCGACGATAGACTCTGTCCAGTTGATGAAGATGAAATTGAAATGTGTGCAGAGGAGACATCTCCAAAACCTACCGTTCCCTGTGATGAGACCGTAGCAGAACTGTGTTGTGATATTATGAAAGAATATGGGTTTGTGTCTCAAAATGATGCAACAGGGGCCAAACAATTTATACCAAGATTTGAGGGGGATCGTGCGCTCGCTATTGTAGAGCATCACTCCAGCTTAAGATAATTCATATTCTTTACAAGGGTTTTTTTTTGTGAAAACACTTTTTTCAACAACTATTAAAAAAGGACGAAAAACAGATGAATAACTGAATATGTCAGATTGATGGTAGATCTAGTTTTGTCTGTCGCTAAATTCAACTTTTTTCCAGCATCATCCGTTTTCACAACACGAATGAATATAAGTTTGTATTAAGAATGTCGGAGTAACTAAATTAATTTTTATAATGAAAATCGCTAGATGTATAGATGTAATTTAACAAATGACAAAATAAATCTTGTTAAGCTGAATTTGCTTTTACATTACATTACTAGTTTACATTGAGTATATTGAGAACAATATTTGCCCAAACAATCATTTCAATATTTTATATAGAGAAATCACAATGACCTCTAAAGCATTCTGAGTTTTGAACTCACTCTAAACATATACTGAACTTAAATATCTTTCTTTAATTAAAAGGATATACCAACATATCAATAGATTCGAAATTCGAAATTAATGATAATATGAGGCCAAAACATGAACAAATGAAAAACTGCATTGACGTACTAAAAGAGGGAAGAATTTCAGAAACACGTGTAGGCTTGAGAAGAGTAAGGGTACACGCATGTCAAAGTTCATCCAATGTGTCTGACTTAAATTGCACAGGGGAATGTCCCACTTCCGGATGAGTTAAATCCCATTAACTATGAACTTCCATTACGTGCAACTAAAATAGTGTTCTTGAGTATGCTTCTTTCGGAAAATTGGATCAAATGTTTCTTGCAAGTTTTTTATAGGTTCGAATGGTTTAAATAAGTTATTTGATATTTAGATTTTTTTGTAAGGTTTTTTAATTTATTAAAACCTTGTCATATGATTAAGAGAACAAACACTTGCTCGACTGGATAGGGTCGATCGCCGGCGACCGGGTAGATCGGGTGGTAGAGCGTACGGTCTGGCCGTGCATTTCTCCGCTCTTGTTACATTTGGTGCCTGTGACCAAAACTTGTTCCAAGCGAGATAAAGTACTTGACAAGGGGATACTCGATCCTGGGTTGTGTGTTGGGTCTTCAGGGGCGAAGACTTAAAATAGGGAGGGAGGAGTCTAATGGAACTGGACCGGGTCGATTGCCGGCGACCAATTGGTAGAGCATCCTTCTAGTGTTCAGAGGGTTCCGGGTTCGAACCCCGGTCTGGCCGTGCATTTTTATGCTCGTGATATACACATTATTTTTTTCACAATGGTTCCAGCAATCTACCTTCTTTTATGCTATAAAGAGAAACACACTAACACATAATTTAAAGTTTTTCTTCTCCTTTATTTAATGAAAAAAAAATGACAACGAAAATGAAAAATCATTATTCTTCATTACTAAGTGAAACACCATGCACAAT